GTTGTTTGTTGGTTTTTTTTTTTATTAAACCTGATCTAGAAGCTAAACACTCTGAAGCAATGTAAACTGATGTAAACCTGCCATGCAACCAGCCTCTCCCTTCATCTAATAGTGGTGTGGCATCCTCTTGAAAAATACCAGACACAGCAGTCAGGTTCTACCCAGGAACCCCATCAGAGTTTTTTCACAATTAAAGTCCTTAGATGGTCCCTACCCGGTTGCAAAAGGGGTGCTCTTGGTGATGGTGGGGAAGCAGAACAGAAGCCAGAACCTGGATTTAGGCTTCCTGGATCCAGGTCAGCCTGGATTTAGGCTGGGTTTGGTTACAGCTACACCCTTTGTGTGAACTGAGAAATGAAGGCCTCTTTCTCCCTTTGGGGATGGTGACTGAAGCAGGAGGGGCAACGAAACTCTGGGTGCCCTTTTAGTGATGGGATGAAAGATGTGCACGTTTTTGATGTGAGATGAGGTCAGCCTCCTTTGGTAGGCAGTATCTAGTTTCATTTTGGCAAGAAAGGTGCAGAATGGGCCTTGACTCAGGAAAATCACCCTCTTACAGGCTGCTGCGTATAAAAGTACTCAATTCAGATGAGGAGGACATTTTTTTACCTAACAGGTCCAACTTGTCTGAGGTGATAGGGTAAAGTGATAGTAATATAAAACTAAGAAGGAAGACAACTATAAAGAACAGAAATGAAATTAAGCACTTGAAGTGGAAATGTTTCAGGAAATGTAGTTTTATGTGCTGCTGTTGATTAATTGATTTTTAAAACGAGCATGCACCCAGCAGCTCAGTGTATTATGACAATTTTCTTCAGACCTAAGAAATAAGAGGACAAGTCACTGTCATTGGGTGAGAGAGGAGCAGTGTGTGTTGCTCTTACAGGTTGCTCTAGAAGTTACCAAGGACCCAGTTTTCTTCCATCCTCATTTTGGCATCCTTTCCTGTTGCTGTGCCTGGTGAGCTAAAGATCAACTTGCCATAGATTTGTCTGGACTATGATAATTTTTTTGTTTTTCCTTGGTCTCCTCTTCCTAGATCAAATAAGTCAAGTAAAGGAGCTACTTGGTCACCATTATGGATAATTTTCACTACAGTAGATAATGAAAGTGCTAAGGATTTATGTTGTCTGCTAGAAAGGCTGGAGGCAGAAGAGTATGGCCAGATAGGGATGGCATGGCCTGTTCTCAGAGTGTAGCATTACACCCAGGTATTTGTTTTAAAATATTAATCTAGCTTCAGATTGGAAAACCTGTTTTTTTTATCTACTGTGGTGTCTTGTTAGTGCTATCAGACCTTTGTAATTGCCAAAATAGGGGAGAAAAATGGTCCTGGAAGCTTTCCATGCAGATAATGCACCCTGAAGTGTAAACATACTAAGTAAAGAACCATGATTTCTGGTTTGAAAGCCTTATTACTGTCCTTGTGAGAGTAGCTAGTGCAAGAAAATGATATAATTTACAGAAATACATGTGATATGGATGCTGGATATACTTCAATCCATTTTATTAGTACCTGCATGGCCTTTCCACAGTGCTATCTCTGAGATTTGCTGTATATTGCTCGCCCTGGTGTGAACAACACCAAGCGGCTCAGTGATGAGACATCCTGTGTGAGGCTCATCTGCTCCCTCCAGCTCTTTGCTTTTGCTCAGGGTGTGAACGCTTGGTTTTCAAAGAGCAGTGTCGTGCAGCTTATGCCAGCTCTGGGGTGTGCACCTGGAAAGATGATGTTTATCTGTTTGCTCCTTGGTCCCAGGGTACTTGCTTTCATTTTGGGAACAAGCCGTACCCTGTTTGTGGGTTTGTTTTCAGAGCTAACATAGTGGCACCGTCTCTCAACAACAAGAGCCAACCTGTGCAGGGTGATCTCCCAGTAAGGCAGGCATTCTGGAATAGCTTGATATTACAAGTCATCTGCTGATACACCTAAAAACCTATGAGTATCTGTTCATATTGCTCTCTTGGGGTAGTGACACTAAAGAAGACTGAAGCATACAGCATCTATCAGACTTTTTTTCATTGCCTTGTGGAGAGAGAAAAGAAAAAAGTGAGGGTTTTTTTTAAAGTTGTTACAAGTCCTCAAAAGTCAACTAACTTTTGTCTAGCAATTGTGCTCACATAAGCATGATTTTCTTCAAACAGGCCAAAGATCTTCTGCAACAGCAGGAAGGGTACTTGCTTTCATTTTGGGAACAAGCCGTACCCTGTTTGTGGGTTTGTTTTCAGAGCTAACATAGTGGCACCGTCTCTCAACAACAAGAGCCAACCTGTGCAGGGTGATCTCCCAGTAAGGCAGGCATTCTGGAATAGCTTGATATTACAAGTCATCTGCTGATACACCTAAAAACCTATGAGTATCTGTTCATATTGCTCTCTTGGGGTAGTGACACTAAAGAAGACTGAAGCATACAGCATCTATCAGACTTTTTTTCATTGCCTTGTGGAGAGAGAAAAGAAAAAAGTGAGGGTTTTTTTTAAAGTTGTTACAAGTCCTCAAAAGTCAACTAACTTTTGTCTAGCAATTGTGCTCACATAAGCATGATTTTCTTCAAACAGGCCAAAGATCTTCTGCAACAACAGGAATTTTATGAATATTTCATGAGTAGGTTAAGTTAGAATTTGCAGGATTAAAAAGAGGAAACTGGGTCAAATGTGCATGGTGTAAGCATCTAACTTTAATGCTGAATTAATATATGTTGTATTTTGAAATCTGAACAAGTGTTTTGTGGGGTGGGGTTTTTTGGTGGTGTTTTTGTTTGGGTTTTTTTTTGTAATTTGACCATCTTATAGAAAACTTAGTTTTCCCTTTGGAATTTTGTGGGCCAAACCACAGGAGACTTCTGGGGTTTCACAGTGTGTGCAACCACTTCAGGAGATGCTTTTCCAGCAAGCCTAGCACTTTTCTAGAAACAGACTACGCTACTGCTTTTCTAGGTATATCATGGGGTTTGAAGAGTCAGTGAGCAAGGACAAAGTTTAGAGAGGAAGATGAGGCTGGTTCTCAATGGATGTGCCTCTTGCGTTAAAGCTTTTGAGAGCCTGCTGGAACATAAGGCAACACATACAAAAGTGGTGGACCCTAGAAAGGACTATGTACATTCAGGAAGGCTGAGTGAGCCCCTGTCCTTGTGGTAGCAGTGCACTCCGAGTGTCTGGGCTGCCAGGGACTCCTTAGGTGTGCATGGTTCATGCTTCCCCATGACATTACAGCTGTTTGGAGAGCAGAAGTGACACCCTCGCAGTGACAGTCACTGGTGGTGGTGGGAGGGTGATGTGCATGCAGGTGTTTTCCACAGAGCGTCACAGCACAGCTCCAGCAGGGCTTCGTGAAGGTAAGGTATGTTGAGCATACATACTTGTCTGCTAGGACCTACAGAGTGCTGGTGTTTGAGTTAGGTGGTGTTTGCAAATATTGCTGTTAGCTCTAGTTGCCAAAACCACTGCCAGTGCTCAGATAAATAAAGTAATAAGCTGAAGTTCAGACTGAAGGAAAGGAAGGTTTCTTATTACACTATTCCTTTCTAGACATGAGTTGCACAGAAGAAATGGAGAATGTAGCGATGATGTTGTGCTGGTATTGCAGTGGCCTTTTAAACACAAGTAATTAAACACAAGACAAGAGATCGTAATGACCATGTTTTTTCAAATCTCTCTTACACATGTAGGTGTGTTAGTGGCTCCCTTGCCTAACCTAAGTTTGGTTTTAATTCTTCTGCCTCTCTTCTTGGCATTGTGTGCAGTGATACTGGGCTTCATTTGGACTCAAGAGAAGACAATACAGAAGGTGTAAAAAAAGCCCCAATGTTTTATAAGCCTCTTTGTAGCTGTACCTAGTCAATATAGCTATTCCTAATGTTTCCACCCACACATTTTTACTCTCATGTCACTGTTTCCCTTAATGGTTAATATCTTTTGTCTCAGTATTTCCAACCCTGTAGGCATTTTCTGACTTGATGTATAATATATGTAAATGGCTAAATTGTAACAAGGCCTGTAATGGTCTGTGGCTTTTTAAAATATGGATGGGAAATAAAAAGTTTATAGATGTAATTGCTTGCTTAGCATATTGTGGTAAAAGGTATTTCTAAGTTTAATATTGGTTTGGGTTTTTCTTTCCTATACAAATACTGCTAGTGCAAGATGAGTTGATAACCTGTGTAAATACTCAGCACTCTGTGGGACAGGAGCCTGGGGAGGGTAGCCCACCTGAGGACTCCCTCTAGTCCTGGCTGCTGTCTCTGCTATCCTATCCCTCCTCTCTGCAGCTGCCTGTAGTTTTGTCCCATTACGGGTTTTAGGTATTTTAAGGAAGCTGAGAAATACAGTGGCTAGACCTACGTGATTGTTACCCTTCCCTTTGTGCTGGCTCAAATGAAAAGCTGACATTGAGTTATGCTGAAGGGGCTTGAATTGACCATTAGGGTTCTCCTTCTCCCTCTAAAATACATCCAGAGAGTAATAACATGCAAAAGCAAAACATAAAGCCGAAGAAACTGATTTCTTTTTAGATCATTCAGGCTTTTGTCCTATTAATTCCATGGCAGATGTTTTCTCTTTCAGGCTTCGCTCCACCACATAGTATGTTTTATCTGGAGTGAACACTAATGTCTACGTTGAATGCTAAAGCATCACTGTTTGTAAAATGGCAATGACATTAATGTCAAAGAGCAAAGTCCCAAGGACAAGTAGACCCTGTTTCTGGGGTTCTTTAACTAGAATTGGATTGCTTTAGCTACAGCTTTTGTGGCTGACTGGCTTCCATCTCCACTTTTGATCATAACGTTGTGGGTTTTTGCAGCAGTTAAATCACTGCTCATTCACTACTCATGAACTTATTTCAAACATTTTTGCTCAATAAAGATCAAGCTTGGTTTCTGTTATTAAAACGTTGAATACTGCCTCTTCACTATGAATTATTATGGAAATGAATTCTGGTTTTATTTGGAATTAAATTAATGTGGTTTTGGTTTTGTTTTTCTTCTTCTCTCGCTGTTCAGCTGTGAGGTCTGGCTGGCTGCCCCCACCACCTCCTGCACTGCCCCCTCGGCCTTCTGTGTCTCAGGTATGGACAAAGGTTTAGCATTTTGCTGTGCATTATTTGTTAATTTATGTTACAGTTGCAGTGGCTAGCACAAGTTGGCCTGGACACAGCAGTTGTTCTTGCTTCCAAGTTAGTGCAAATCTGTGGTTTGTTCTGCAGTTCCATACATGTCCTCCTTCATTGGTCTGTCTAGCCAGTGTGTTGCAATGTCAAATTACAGGCTAATTAAATCTCTTTGTAGTGGAGCTGACGTGCACCCACTAGAAAAAACTGTAAATTAAAGGCTGGTAAGGCTAGTCTACTAATAAGAGTTTCATGCCTGAGAGGCATGGACTTGATACCTAGTTATTTGCTTCTCAAGCTTCAAATGCTCAGAGGGCATCTGCTAAGAGAGCTGTGTCATGTAAGAGTCAATTTCACCCATGGGTTTAAAAAATAATGCTAAATGTCGTGTCAGTTATGTTATAAAGTTTCAAACCATTAGTGGTGTGCTTTTGCTTTGATTTTTGGAAGGGTTTTTGTTTATTTGTTTTTAGAGCATCACATAACCACAGAGCAATGCAAATTTACTAAATCATGTGTTAATCTACATCCAGATACTTATTCATGTTTTAGTACGACAGAGGATCAGCATCCTCTTCTTTTTATGTTGTTGGCTCTATTAAGTCTTGGGTGACAGTTAAGCACTGGGAATGACAAATCTAGCTGGGTAATGAAGCGAACCCCACGTATTTCAGGTGGCTGTGTACCATATAAACATGCTTGTGGTGTGATTATTTTGGCTCAGTTGTGGCAATTGGTTGATGGAGGAGGGAAGGGAAATAATTTCTGCTGTTTTCTATGGAAGGCTGAGAAGCAGCCTGGACCAGTTTGCTCTTTAGGGTGAGATTAAAGGGCTCATGGGATGTAAAGGCCAAAGTGCATAGAAGAGAGGTAGGTGTTAGATTTCAGTGGAGCAGAAGTCCTCCTGTGAGCTTAATCAATCGCAATATAGACATGGCATCTTGACTTTGGTCCTGGGCTGCTGGTTTTTTTAGTAGAATTTGTTTCAACTTTTAGGAAAACATTATTTTTCCTGTCAGAACCTCCAAGGATAATCAAGCTCAGTCAAGTAACTGAAACAGTGGTTATTCAGAGTGTGCCAAAGATCTGTAGTTGTATCAGAAATGTATTAAATTACATGCACATCTAACTCTGCTTCCGTAGTGCAGTCAGCTGAGTAACAAGGGAGCAGGACTGTATTCCTGGGTGAGCGTAGCACAGCTCAGAGCTAGTACTGCTGTGTCCTTGACTCCAGAGCTCAGTGGACGTGCAGGCTTACTGGTGAGACGTTGGAGTCTTGAGATCCTGCACAGCTGATGGGTAGACATCTTTACAGGTGCAGCTGCATCTCTTATTACCTCAACAACAGGTTTTAGGGTTGCTGGATTAACTTGGCATTTATTTCTTGTTGAGGGCCTCTAAAAGGCTATGGTAGCTCCAGCCTCTCAGCATTTTTCCTCTGTTGCCAAAGTCAGCTTCGTATTGACTTCATAAAATGCTGGGTTGGAAAGGGCTTTCAGGATCATCTGGTGCAACCTTTCTAGGTAGGAACATGGTTTAGATGACATGACCCAGCACCTTGTCAAGCTGAGTCTTGAAAGTGTCCAGTGTTGGAAAACCCACCACTTCCCCAGGTAGATTGTTACAAAGTCTGACTGTTCTCAAATTGTCTTCTGATGCCTAATTGGGATCTCCCCAGGAGTAACTTGCACCCATTATCCCTTGTGTTTTCCATGTGACTCCTTGAAAAAAGGGAGTATCAGTCAATAAACAGTACCCAAGTTTTCCTCAGACAGCTCACCAGACGTTTCTCTGATGTAGTGGTGCTTTGGTCTGAGGTCCCTGTGGTGACTTGTCAATACATTTAGTAAATAAAGACAGACAAAAGGCAAATTTACATAATGTGGATACACCATTATCTCCAGTTGATGGTCTTTTATCCCAATTCCAGCACATGTACCTCTGGACTGCAAGCCATCTTGAATTGATGTTTCCAGTAAAACATTATGAAATGCAGTATGAAATGCATTATTAGTATTCTCAGCTCATATTCCTATGAAGAAAAAAAAGCAGTTCAAGTTTTGCCTAAATTCTATGAAGGGCACTTGGAAAGAGCCTGTATAGAAATAGGCTTATACAAAGATGAGAGTTTTGTTTTGGATAATAGGTGATTTTTAAGTGTTTTCCTTTTACTTCTGTGTATATGCCTGTGTGTAACTTCACTGACACCTTCTGTAATCTGTAGTAGCACATCTCACACTTAGTAAGTCTCAAGTAGCTACTTAGTTTTAAGGATCATTCTGTTTGTATCAGCTTCCCTGTTTCTTCGGACCATAAATATTTAATATGCTGCAAATTATTTTACAGACTTAGGACACTGGCAATACTTTGCCTCTTTTGCTGACTTCTCACATCATGTTATAGTTACAGCTTTTCTACTCTTTAAAAATAATATAATAAACAATAATGTATTTTTTAAGTTATTCTAAGTTTTTAGGGGTGTTTGTGTCATCCCTATTGTTGCCCATCCACCCTGTGTGATGGTATATAGAACAGATAATCTGTAAGCTGTTGAAATACCTATTGTGTTTTCTTCTAGGCACATAGGAGAAATAACCATAAAGAAGTTCCCAAAACTTTTGTGCAGACCCATGGCTGTACACAGAAAATTTGTGTAAATTGGTTGTGGTGAGAATCATTATAGGAATGCAATAGCAAATGGAGCTGATTTGCAGTGACACAGATTTCACATAGAACATAACTTTGGGTGCTCGTGCATATCTCATATAAGCCTCTTGTTATTTTTTTAAAATGGAAAACAAAATAATACTCTGTTACTGTTGGCTTTTAAGTCTAGGGAAGTAATTTACCACAGCTGCACCATTACACAAATTCAGTAGCATATTTACGCTAATGGGAATTAGGGATGAACACTGAAAAGCAAATATAACTTTAGGATTTTATCCAGTATCATCTAGCTATCTACAATGTTACTCTATTAGATCAATGTTCCTTTGTTTAAATTACTCTTATTTTGGTACCTTCCTGTCCATTAATGAAAACATATCTTCAATCCTGCCTGTGCTGTATAAGGGGATTTGAAAACAGTGGGAGTGGAAGAAAATCTTGTATATCTTGGCTGAAAAAAATGATGTTCCTAGTCTCTTTTCCCAGATTTCAAATCTTAAGCCTGTTGGTTTTGTAAATTCATACTGCTTTGTGTCGGACTTGCATTTCTGGAGATGGTGAGACCTGATTTTCCCATTGGTTCCATGCTGGCAGTTTTGACAGGTGCTGAAAAAATTAGGGATGAAGGTAAAGTTTTCAAGTGAAGTGGAGTAGGTAGGCAGCTGTTAACATTATCAAAATGAAGTGTGTCCGGAGTACACTGCAGCTCTAAAGGTTAAAATCTCACTGTTATAGGAGCTGTGAGAGTTAGGTTTACATTGTAGTGGCTGTCATTACTGTTAGGTGTTACTGGTTTGGTGAAATCATGGAAACAAAAGTGCTATGAGCCATGATGGGTGGGTCACCCTTCCCAGGCACAGGCACCTGGTGTTGTTGGAAAGCAAATATATTATTCTTGTCAACATATCGAATGCTCTGCTCTCCAAATGTAACTCAATACTTTGTAATTCCTTGAAGCTTTTTGGCCATTCATTATCCAGAGCTGCAAGGGAAAAGTGGGACCTGGTTCAAGAACTTGTCTCTACTAACATGCCTCCATGTTCTGCAGAATCCACAGGGAGCCATGAGCATGGAGTATGCTCAGGCTGGGTTTGTAGCAGTAAATTACATGTGCCCACACTGATCTGCAGCCAAGAGGTGGGGATGGGCTTCCATCACTGCTGCTGAGACTTCTCAGCTTCCAGGGCAGGATGGCCTCCCACAGGCTCTGTGCTGGGAGCTGGTCCAGGGGTCCCCCACAGCCAAGGTCTTTGGCTCCAGCCAAAAGCTGGAGTGTGTGGAGTATGAGGTAGGGTTTGCTTATCTGTGTTACAGAGTTGTTTGAAGAAAATGTTCAGCCAACTGTGGTGCCACTTTACTCTGAAGAATTATGTGAGGAATTCCAAGTGCTGGCAGGACACCTGGATTTTTACAGGAAGGAACTTTTTTGTTATAGAAATAAGAATGAAAAAAAAATAATAATTAAAAGAAAAAGTGAAGATTCTACTTTTGGCAGCTTAATATTTGTATACATAGTGGTATTCTCCCAGACAACTGTTTTATATTTAACCAAAGGAATACTTTTTCTTTGTTTGCATTTACAACCACAGTGCAAGAAGAGGGTGGTTTTTTGGATCATCTCCACAGTTTTGACTGCATAATAACATATGTTGTATAATCAGTGCAATAGGTACTGAAGAAGCCTGTAACTGAAATAAAACTGAAAGTCTTCTATAACATGAAAGATTTTGCCACCTGCCACTTAAATATAATACAAGTGGATTATCTTCCTTTCATGAAAATTATGTATTAAATCTAAAACAGCCAGACAAAATAAATTATGGTTTAAGAAGTGGTGGAAAGTAGCACAGTTAAAATTGAATTTGGGGAGTAGTTCATGGATGCCATAAAATCCTTTCTAAAGAGATTTCTGGGAGAGTGGAAGAAGGCTGAGAGTCTTAATTAAAACATCTTGTAATAATTTCTGAATTTGGCTTCATGTTTATAATAAAACCAACAAAAAATGTGAGAATCCAATGCTTGTATCTCTAGTGAAATGCACATACCCCTTTCTAGCCTTATGTTAATCTGGTTTTGTGGAAGTGGAGTATTAAAACAGATTGTTAATGCTTCCATCTGGGTCCTATTCTTTCCTTGCGAATGGGCTGAACGTTGCAGCAATTTTTTTGTATTTACTGCCTTTTTCTTCACCTTATCACCAGTGCTCAGATAGCTGGGGGAAAGAAAAACCTTATCAAAACATAAGGGCTTCGAAGAGCTGCTAAAGCAAGCAGCACACTCAGGCACTGGCA